GGGGGGCTGCACGCACGATTGAGCCAACAGCAACCACCTGCATCAAATCGCTGAAACAGTGAGGTTGACATGGACACATCCCGTGCCTGGCGCTTCGGCCAAGGCGTCCTATTGACTGCGGCGCTGGGACGACCCACACAGCCCCCTGGGCCTCTGCAAGCTTGACCACATTTTGGGGCGCCTCACCAACAATGGGGTACAGGCTGCCTCGAGCATCAATGGACGAATGCCTGCCTCCTACCTAGTATATATCTGCGGCCCTAGCGGTTATATTCCATCGTCACGTCTAATGCGCCTCATCCGGTCCTCGCCTTTTTGTATTCGGATACCCCAACTTGCAACAGCTGACGCCGTCAAGATCTACTGTTTTTGTTTCTTTTGCGAGGCTTTCTGATTTACTCCAATCTTCATACCCCTTTTCTCAATTTTGATACCCTCTTCTTTATTCTCTCTGTTCTCCCTCTCCTCCATCTCCCCGAAGACCCTCTGCTCGTCACCCACCAGCTCCTAGACCTTCTCGATTCTCGGCGGAATTGCGTCTAGAGCAACAGAGAGTTATGCAACCGACCGGGGGTGAATCAATAAAGATAGGATTCGTGCCAAAGTTCAGAGTTGTATCCGTGTCAGCTGTTTCGCCTCTCCAGGCTCTCACGGCGTCCATCACCCCGGACGAGCAGGGCAGGCGTCCGTTCAGAGACCACATGGCGTCCTTGAGGAAATCCGAGACCGCTGCCGGCCTCGACTTGGCAGTGACCCGGAAGGCGGAGGAGAACATCTCTGATGCGTTCCGGACCCTGATCCGCGCCGGGTACACCATCCAGCCGCCCAAGCAGCCGGGGAGCCAGGGTGACGGCGGCTCGGCGGCTCAAAAGCAGAGGCCGCCCAGCCGGGAGCTAGAGCCCCAAGCAAGCAATGGTGAGATGGCCCAAGAGCCGGCGGCGGCGGTCGGCCATGCAACGCCAGTGGCGGACTCGCCGGAGCCTGTGGGAGCGGCTACTAGAGTTGAGTTGGCCGATCCAAGTGAAAACCGGGAGAGGAAGGAAAGGGTAAGTCTCTCCATATATCACCAAATCCAATACCCATTGCCTTTCCATGCTTGCAGTATTCTTTATACAATAGCTAAGAAAAAGACTGGTGGTCATGTCCAGCTTGCCCGAACACCCTCTCCACACTGGGAAAGGGGCCGTGGGCCGGTTGCTTCCTTGCCGAGAGCCCGCCCGCCAGCCCGGCCCTCCTTCGACCAGGCCGTCCCTCAGCTGCACGGCCCGTCGCCGCCGCTCACCCCAAAGGACAGCCCGGGGCTGTTCTGGCTGGAGCCCGAGGTGCGCGTGCAGAGCCCGCTGCAGATCCCGGGTACAGTCAAGGACGAACGCCCGTCCGTGTCTGGGCCTGATGACGCGCACAGCCGCTGCTGTACCTACGCCTACTCGGGGCGGGAGAGCGGCGGCCCACGCTCCGCGCGCCAGGACTCGTCCCGCCGATCCGTGCGCGCCGCTGCCAGATCACCCGAGGATAGGGGGTCTCGCGCCGCACGAATGGACTCGTTTTGCTCGGTCTGCTCCGACTTTTCCGCTGACCGTCAAGACGGCGAGGTCAAAAGCGACATGCTCACCATCGACATCGGCCTGGTGTCTAGCCTCCTCGCCATAATCCAGGACTTCGTCCCCTCGGCGCACAGCTACAGCGGCGACGTCCATTCCGGGGGCTCGCTCCTGCTCATGAGCCTCCTCACCACCATCAGGAAGCACATCCCCACCGGCCCCTCCGGCCTCAGTCCCAAGTCTGCGTCCCTCCGCCTGCTCTCGCGCCTCTTCGGCATACTCCAGCCCTACATGCCCGAGGACGGGGCCAGGCCCAAGATCACGGTCGGCGCCATGCGCGGTCTGTTGGGCGACCTCCTGGCGGCGATCCGGGACTTTTGCCCCGACGTCGACCCCGATCCGGCCGAGCTGTTGTCGGCCGACTGTGGGCGCCGCCGCCACCGCCGCCGCCGGGAGATGTCCAACGATTACGGCGAGCCGGTCGAGCCGCCTCGGCACCGGCCCGGTCGCTCTCGGGACCGCCGCCACATCAGCGGCGGATGGACCCGCCCGTCCTCACCGAGGGGCAGCGGCCGCTGCCCGTCTCCCAAAAGGGGCAACTCTTGGAGAGACAGGCGGGCGCCTCCTTATCCCACCGATTCTCTCACGCTGCTTGGTTCCCGGCACCGGTTCGTCATGGGTCCCCAAGATTATGTAGAGAGCCGCGGCAGCCTCGGAGACGCGCTGCCCCCGCACCACATCATCCGCGACTCGCGTCACCTGGGCCTCTACCTCGGCGCCTGCGACTACGTCGTGGTCCTCGGCGGCGGCCGCGACCAGGCCACCCACAGTAGCCAACCACCCAGCTGCAGTGTCGTTTTCGTGCCGGCCGGCGAGGAGTGGAGGGTGACAGGGCTACTACATGGCGGCACCGAGCGGGCCCGCCCCGTCGTCGGCGCCGCCGAGCTGGCCGCCTGCCTCGGCGCGGCGCTGTCTACAGTCGTCGTCGGCGATCTGGATCTGGACCAGGCCCTATTGCCCGGCCGCAGATACGGCGCCGTCGTCGTGCCGACGGGGGAGGAGTGGCGCCTCCGCGCGTGGGACGGGCGGCCGCCGCCTGCCTACCACGCCGGGCCCGAACGCCGCCACCACCACCACCGTCATGCCGTCGCCCGGGACGGATGGGGCAGCAACAATGAAGATTTTGGCAACTTGGCCGACGCCTTCGAGGGTGGTGTCGGGTCCGAGTATTGGATTCTGGGACATGGGGCACCGCAGAAGTGGGAGGATACTCGGCAGCACCCTCGCTGCGACAGGGCTGGGCAGTGCAGCGTAGCTGGGCGGTGCATGGCTCTCATTGTGCGTGGCTGCCCAGTTTCGAGGCCCTGGGGCGCTTGTTAGGACCGTTGAGATCAGGAGAGGGAAGGCGTGGGAGGATCGGTGGCTTGTTCTATTCAATGTTCAATCGTGGGTTCTAATTGTATATAGGCCGGTAGATGGCATCTTTGTTTATACATCTCATGAGTACTCTTTTCCACTAGCATGCTCCCCGCTTGGACAGGAAGCGACGAGAACTCAGCCTGACCCATCTAGGCAACAGAGCCCTGGCCTGCGAACAAGGAGTACTTTCAAACCCGCGATATGTGCATAGACAGAGCCCAAAATAAAGCTTGATAGTGCTTTGCCTTGAAGCACAACCTTCATGACAGAGAAGAATCGGCTATGCCAACACACCAGACTGCCGTTATCCGACTTGACACCCCCGCCACCAACTTGACGTTTCCGGAGCAGACGGAAAGCGAGGCCGAATTGGGGAATGACAGGCACCGGTAAGTGTACACGAGAACCCCCAAGCTGCCGCCGGGGGTCGGGAGTCATCTCTCGCTGCATTGCCTATAGCGGCAGGCTGTATAGTAGTGCGCAGGAACGCCTCCTTGGCAACTGTGGAGGGCGCCCGAGACTCCGGGTGTAGCTGTCAGAAGATATGATCAAGCACAGGAGCTTAGCATGCCCCCATCCGGAAGGTCGGCAGACATCAGAAAAAGGCACAGCAACACGGCCTGGGTTCGTTATTGGCCCGTCGGCAGCGGACATGCGCGCGCAATCAACGCTAGCCCCTGTTATTCTCCTGGCCTCCATGCTATAGGTTGTGCCCCCCGGCAGCACACGCCCGCCGGTCCCTGGGGCGTGTTCCTGAACAGCACGAATAGGGAGAGCGGCCGGCATCAGGGCGGCCTGGGGAGGGGGCACGCGCAAGGCGCTGTGATCGGGGCGTGAGCTTCCGGAGGAAAGGCAATGATCCAGGCCGTCAGGTCTTGGGGGAGCAATGGGCTCAGCGGCAAGCCATGGGGCGTGGCAGTATTCTTGGACGTCGAAAAGATTTTCCCTCCGCAAGTGTCCCTGCTGGGCGGCTTGATGCTTTCGGGGGTTTTCGTATCCCAGGATGCAAGTCCACCGCACGCAATATGTGCAAACGGCCCGCCTCGGCGGCCTTGTGGTGATGCAGAGCCTGGGACGGTAGGATATGAGGACGGGAAGTCACCAACTTGGTCTCGAGCGCTGATGAGGCCCACCTGCGATAATCCTGAACCTCTCTCCCGTCCGTCCCGGCTCGCTTTCTTTCCTCGCTTGTAGGGACAACCGCCCTTGCAGACTGTTACTATATCAAGGGGCCCGAGGGCTGGAAGTCGCGCGAGACTGCTTATAGAGACGCGAAAGATCATGTGGGCGAGGATCTGGGCAGCACCATAGCTTGCTAGTGGCCAAAGTTAGACCCGCGATCGCGTCTCCGATGTACCCAAGGAAAGATGGTTGAGTTTGTACTAGTTACGAGCCAAGGCCCTCAAGCGTCCCCCTTCACTGTTCACTGGCCACTCGCTCTGGCTTTTGACTTGATGACTTGGGCTTGGTGGATCACGCCGCCGGAGTGCCACCATCTTCTTTCCCGTCGTGCGGCTCCCCTCGGATCTCGCCTCCTCCTTTGTGTTTTGCCTGTTTACCCGCCGGCTTTCCTTGATTCCAGATCGATCCAGGCTCGGGCTAAAATTGCGGCTTTTGGTCATGCGGTGCTACTGAGGAGTTGCGAGCTTTTTTTGTCATGCGTCTCCTCGTCGCCGTGGCTTGACCATAAGAGAAGGGCAGAAAGCAAGGGAGGAATTCTCAGGCGTTGTTGACAGCAACTAGGGGTAGTTTTGGGGGCGCCGCATCTCTCTGCGAAAGGCTCATAAACTCGCTCAAGATTCCCGCTTGCGTTTTTCCCGCCTATTACTTGATCGCGGCAGGCACCTCGAGAATAGCCTCGGGTGGATGCCGGATAACGTGGCAAAAAAGGGGAAAAGGCAAGAACCACGAGGGGAAGAAGACAAGCACCCGCACACGCACACATGAACTAGGATCGAGGCCGCTCAACCCGGCCCAGGTGCCTGGTAAAGCCTCCATTTGCTGAAAGTAGGTAGTAGCACCAAGAAGGTGAGGCTGGGCCAAGCGAGATGAAGAGGCAAAAAGCGAAGCCCGCCCGGTTTTTGGTCATACACACATGTTGAGGGACGACGAGAAAAATCACGAGGCAGGCAAGACAGGCATTCAAGACATGTCCCCCTTCCCCCTTTTTGGCGCGTGCCTGTTCAAAAAACAGTGGCGCCTCTTCTTTTTCTTTCTTGTTGCCTCAAGCTCTTTGATGGCGAGAGATGGAGGGCGGAAAGACACGTGTGGTGCGTAATGCACGTCTCAGATCCACCGCTCTCTCTTTTGCTCACCTCCTCCCTTGTTTTTTTCTTTTTGTCTTCTCTGTCCGACCACGACAAAACACCACCCGCACGATGGAGGCGCGGCCACAGGACGAAAGGGGGGGAGGCGTTCGGCAGATCGCCCCTGCCCTTGCCAGTCCAGCCGAGTGTGGTTGGTGGCTTGTGGCACGCCACCCAAGACATGATGAGAGAGACATACGGGCGGCCTGCTTGTCCCCCTCCTTCTGGTCGGGCGCTCTTCCTGGGCTTTTGGCGTCATCTCTTTTGGCCCGCTGCTTCGTGGAGAACTGCTAACAGCAGCGGGAAAAGGAGGAAGAGAAGTAGCAGACTAGGTAAACCCGTCTGTACGGCGGGCAAGAAGGGACCTTGACGGACTGTGTGAAAGCGAAATCTGCATATCCACCCGCGTCCCCAGTCCCCCCTCCCACAGCTCGCCTTGATCCATACGCCATGCGGTCTAAAAGAAGTCAGCTCTGGTTGTGCGGCAGCATGCTGTATGTTTGTGCGATGGCTAGCGTCGGGGGTCGACGGCGAGCATCTTGTACCCGGGGCAAGGATCCGGCAAGCCAAGCCAGCACGCCCCCTCCTTGCCGAGGCGGACTCTCACTCGCTTTCCCTCCTTGACTTGCCCAAGCCGAGCTCGACCGCAGCCGTCGCTGATATGCATATGCATGGCGCCGGTCGAAGTCGAGCTAGTCGGTTTCCGGATTTGGCAGGACATCTCTCGGAGGGTGGAGGGCATTGAGAGGTGATGTGGGGAGAAGGGAGGGGGTGTGGTTGTGGTGGTGGTGCCTCGTAGACAGCCCCGATCTCCTCCTCCCATGCTGCAAAGACAGGGGCAAAAAGTAGGGCCCAGACCGGCCAGATGGACCCGGTAGCGGTGCATATGTCCTCACCCAGCAGGCCAATGAGAGCAGCGGCGCCATTGATCACCTGCCGCAATGCAAGAGGCCTGCCTCTCGGCCTCGTCCTCCCCTTTTCTCCCATTGGGGACGCTGGTAGCAAAACATGGCTATCGCGTATGGCCTATGGACTGCAGGAATGGGACGGGTCATTACTCCGCCGTACAAACCCACGCGCACCTCTTGCTTCAGGCGTCACTGCGGGCCATGGGACATGCCAAAAGGGGAAGGGTGAGCAGACAGTGCGGCCGTCTCCCTTGAGTGTGGTCGGTGAACTGGTTGAATGAATGGGGACTCCCCAAGTGCTTCGTACAGATGGAGCAGCTCCCCCAGAAGCGGCCACGGGAGGGGGTGCCGTAGAGGTACCTGGGAATCTCAAAAGTGCAGGTCCGGCTGCCGTCAAGCACTGTGAGGGTCGGGAGGGAGTGCTCCCTATTCGTAGCGAGGAAGCCATCGATAACATACAGCCCGACACGGCGCCCAAGGCGAGAATCCAGACCTGGCCACGGCCGGCGGTCCGTTGAGAGCCAGCAGTCCTTCTCGCTCACCAAAGGGACGTCTCACGGGGCCGCCGAATGTGTTGGCGCCCCCCAACACGGACAGTCGGCGATGGCGAGGATACGCCCGTGAGACAAAAGCGACGCGTGCTGGACGGCCATGGTACACTCATCCTTGCCGCCAGTCATGACGCCGTGTGACAGGCCGGCCCTGTTTTTTCTCGTTTTACCCATCTTGATCTCAGTCGAGGCCGGTGCGTTGGAGGGGGCGGGTGCTTACTGCCACGATATGATATGCCAGCGTCTCCACACCGTTGCTCGACTGTGTTCGAAGCGGCATGCACAGCAGGTCGATAGAGCTCTTGGGGGGAGGGAGGGAGATCCGGGGAGTGTGCCTCCACATCTCCCCGTGACAGCCGGCGGCGGACGCTTGGCTGACTGGCTGGCTGGTTGATGGGGTGTGCAACATTCGCGGAGCTCCAGACCCAGCACCTATCGGCAGAGCGTTATGCATTGTCGAGACGCGGCTCGATATTACCGAAGCTAGGACACAGGACGCCTGCTGAGCCCTCCACGACGCTAGCAACTAAGCTACGAGCAGGAAACGGAGGGCGGAGAGCCAGCGAGCGGCCCAATCCCAAGGCCCACGTTCCCACGGTCCCTCCCCCCGCGGTGTCCACGCCTTCGAAGTCGGGTTGACGCGGGACGAGGGAGGCGACGCGCGCGACCCGGGGTGCCAATATAATATAGCTTCGGCACGCGCAAGAGCGAGACGCAAGCTTGTTTTGTTGATGTTGTTTTCCCACCCAAGGCGCAGTTTAGCCGGGGCGGCGGCGGCCTGGCCTCGCTCTCCTCCTTTCTCTCACCCCCCTCCCCCGACGGAAAAAGGCAAAAGAGAAGGCCCCACGAGCTGATTGGTGAGGAGAGTAAATGATGTTTGCGTGTGTGAGTGCGGGCATGTTTCACGCGTGGCTGGTGGCTTTTCCCCTTTCATCTTGCGCTGGCGTTCATCAGCATCATCACCGTGATTTACTTGTTATTTCTTTTTCCATCACAGACTAGCCAGTCGTCGTTCTCTACCTCCTCCCCTTCCCTTCCCTCTGCCGTCCCGCGCTGTTGTGCGTCACAGGGTTACATGTACCTGCGTGCCCTTCCGGCACGGCCTGCCTCAGCACAGGCTTCGCAGCAGCATGTACCGGCGTGAAATTCCCACCACTACCGTGGCCCTCAACAAGCCACAGGCACGGCAGAGTTGGTGTGTCCCGGGGCCAACCAATGACACGAGAGGAGTGGCGCGGCTCGGGGAACCCAGCCACTTGACTTTTGCATCGGACGGAAACTCCACCGCAACCAGTTCTTTTGTCACGCCGTCTCCCCCGTTCTCGGCATGGCATTCCATGATTTCCTCTTTCGGCCTAGATAGGCAAAGCATATCAGACTCTGTACATGGAAGCAGCACCCGACTCGTAGCAGGAAGAGAGCCGACAGGCATCCACGACCAAGATAGGCTTCCGTTGGGCTCGCGGGCGTACTGAGAACCAGCACCAGCACGTGGAGACGGACAGCACGAGAGATAGAGTGGGTAAAGAGCATGTATCCCGCGCCTCCCGAGCTTGGACTTGCTGCGCTCCACAGCCCCGAGGAATCTTTCCCTCCGATCCGCTCCGGGAACACGTAACCAATGGGGATCGCGGGGGAGCCTTGGCGTATCTTGTTCCATCTTGATTTGAGACTCCGGCTAAGCCAAAAGTGACAGCGCGTGAGGGGGGAAGAGGGAGGAGCACGGGATTCAGCGCCCAGACCGAGCGAGCGTCAGAGGCCGGGAAAAAAAAAAGCCAAAGGCCGGGCAGGGCAGACTACAGCCGCCAGGCCAAGGCGCAGCCCACGATTCATGGGGAGGCGGGGAGCGGACGGGATGGGGCCCGGCACGGAGACTGCCGTTTGCCGGCCAAGTCAGCGATTCTTTTGCCGCTAACCAAGTTACCCACATCGAAGCCCCGTTGTAGAGAGACGACGACAATGTTGCAACTGAGTGCTAGCGCGGTTACGGACGGGGCACGGAATAGGGTTAGCTCATCATGCCGGGCGGCACGGAAGCAAACAAGAGAGGGCTGAGAGAGCAAAGATTAGACCAAACCGCATCGGCCTGTAGCTTGCGGCAGCGCCCGACGTGGGTCCGTCCCAAAGCTGCAATCTGGCAGCGACGACGGCCCCGGACCGGGTATCTAGACTCTGAAACGGGCCATCAAGTCAGTTCAGCCCAAGAATCTCGGGAGATGCGGAACAATAGGACGAGGAAGAGCCATGGGCAAATCATCAGAGGGAGGAAAAGTCATCATCGGAAACGCCTCTGCGGATGAAGCCGGCCGGGATGTTCCAGGCACACCATGTGTTTGCTCCGGCAGCTTGGGTGGTTCTTTGGAAGAGGGAGGGGGCCTTGAACTCCCATCTGATGTTTAGAGTCGCGGGAGGCGCAGGGAAGGGCTCTGCCCTTTTGGTGCGGCCGGCCCGTGTAGCCGTGTAGCCTTGGCTTTGCTGCTGTTCCATGGCCGCGCTTCAGCCTTTGGTTGAAGGAAAACGGGCGCCCCGCTTACGTGAAAAGGATGGACGAATGTGACTGGGCCATATGTGCGGCGGATGAGGCGTGAAAAGAAAAGAAAGAGCCTGTGAGACAGAATCCTATGAGACAGTACGCATCCATTTCTTTCCGCTTCTGGTCTGACCTGCCCGAGGCATCCACGCAAAGGCCGCGATTCTAGTTCAATTCTCGCACGCCAAGGCCAGTAAAGGTCAAACTGAGGAGGACAATGCTCTGGGAGCTCCATCGTGTCGCGCAATTCCAAAAACCGGCGCGACAGACAGAGTACAAAAACTAACATTTCTGTAAAGAGAAATGTTGGCCGAGGAGGTCAGAGAGGTGACGAGTTATGACAAAGGCTTAGACCAAGGCGATAAGAAAGAAAAGAAAGAAAAGAAAGAAAAGAAAGAAAGAAAGAAAAGAGAAGAGAACCCCCGCCGTCACCCACGCCAAGATCGCAGAGGGGGTTGACTCGCGGTTGGCAGGCGAGCCGATGCGAGCCTAAGGCACCAATAGGGATAGGGGTCTGCCGCAGCTTCCATGTAATTGATATGCTCCAACCAGCGCGCACACACGCACCACCCACGTCCTGGCACAACTCGTATGGTTTTCGAGACAACTTGGCAATGGACGCCCAGAAGAGCATTATTTTTTTCTGTTTTTGTCTCTTGTAGCGTGCTGGGTCGGAGGTGTGGTTGAGATTTGAGGCTTCATCAAGAAGAAGCCTGCGCTGCTTTCCCCAACCTGGCACAACCGTGGCACCGTGCACCAAAACCAACCAACGCACGGTCTCCAACATCCCCACCGACCAGGCTGGGGGAGGAGCCTTAAGGAACCTCGTCAAGAAGAGGGACAGAAAGCAAGAAAAATGACGCGCCCGCCCAGCACAGCACAGCACAGCACAGCACAGCACAGCACAGCCCGTTCATCCTGGCCTGGGCAGGCAGGCGTTCGTTGCGATCCCGCCGTCCCGTCTTCTCCGACAAGTCCCGTCTCAGATGGCTGGAAAGGGCCGATGTGGGCGCATGGCCTCGCGGAGATTTCTGCCGTATCTTATCGTCGCCCCGTCGTCCCTGATCTGCGCCGAGATGTTGGATTGTGAGGGGGAGAGGAGTTCGGGCGAATGAAAGGGAGTTTGCTTTTTTTTTTTTCTTCTTTTCTTTTTTTTATATGCCCCCACACGAGACCCGGCATTGATATCGAATCTGGACGTGATCTGAGGCGCGTCCCTGTCGACCGTGGGTGCTGGTTCTAGAAAGGAGCCGAGATAGGAAGTTGGGGGCGGAACAAGGCCCAAAAGCTGGATAGGTCCGTCCTCGACTCGCGCCGGTCCACCGGTCTGATAGGGCTCCCCCCAAAGCGGACAGGGCGGGGGGTGGCGATTTCACAAGGTTCTTGCTTTTCTTTTCTGTTCTTTTTCTCGTCTCCCTCCCCGGATGGCATGCGACGATAAACAGTTTTTGAACCCAAAAAAAAAGAGGGTCAAGGATTTGATATCTGGAAGCAGCTGCGCCAAGCCAGCCGCAGCTAGGCCTATCCATGCCGCCATCTTCTACACCATATATGTGTTCTTTTTACACATCTCTACATACCATAACCCAGCATTTCCAGTCCTCCCTCCCGGCCCCCTGATATTAGTATATTCTGTTTGCAAAGTGCCCCATAGCTAAAAGCAACTTTTCCCGGCCACGGCGACGCCCCACGCCCAGCACCCGCCTTGGGAGCGACAGACGACCATCCTATCGCAGATAAGCGCTCGTGCGCGGGCAGCATTCCACAAAAGACAGGTCACCCGTGCGGCGCAGAGTTTACAGACCCCTCGCCCCTCCACTCACTCGGCAGCGGACAGAAGCAAGCAGCACCGGCCCGGGTGCTCGGGGCCGTGGCCGTGGCCGTGGGCGGCTACATGCCGCGCGTTCAGCGACATGCAGGGCGGGCAGTGTATACTGGTTTTTTTTTTCGAGGGGGGCGATACGGGCGTACCGAGAAGGAGTACCTAACGGGGAAAGCGGGACTGGACAATGGTTGAGCGATAGAGGCGTTGCTGGGAATGCGGCGCCAGCGTGCATGACTGTCTCTCCGATCCTGGTCACCTTGCCAGAGTTTAAAGTGAGCCGTCTTCGGATGACAGCAGCTAGGAGATGGGAGAAGGGAATACAGAGTTGTGTGAAACTGGCCCAACCCTTGCACAAGACGGGCCTTTTTTCCTTCCTTTTTTTTCTTGCTTTTTTTTTTCTCTTTTCGACTCAAATTCTCCATGTTCTTATCCGCGAGCTCCCCATAGTTAAACGTTTGATCCGTCGACCCACCAATTCTGTTCTGATATTCATCGTCGAGAGCCCAAGCGGCTGGGTGGGCTGGGTCCCAACCAGTGCCCCATCCGCACTAGCGTCAAACGACCCGGGCTGGCACGTCGGGTGGGCATCTGGTGTAATGACTGACCCCAGCACTTTGTGATTATTTCCCTTTTCTTTTTCACTTTTCCTCGCCACAGGCAGAATAGCATCTCAGACAATAAGCCGACCGACCTAACCCTTCAATTTCCGGCGCCGGGAGAGACATGACAGAAAAAAAATCCCGACCACGAGATTCGCATCCCGTCTTTGGGTTGCCCCTCAGTCCAATCCAATCCCACTTTTCTCCTGCTCTAGGGCCCGGCGCAAAGTCGTATTGTTTCTGTTTCGACGGCTTTAATTCTCTTGGGCTGTTTTGCGAGGCCATTCCTTCCATCTCGGTAGCAGGTTTTCTGGAAAACCAGGCACATGGCGGGGGAGCAAGGAATCCCCCATCACACACCCACCCACCTCCCCCATTCGGCGAAACCTACCCAGCATCATCAATGCCTGGAACCTAAAGAAGCAGTTGGGGCAAGTTACTCCGACGGCCACCGAACCCCTAGGCGGCACCCCTGGCTGGGCGTGGGGTCTGGGCGATGGAGGAGGACATGAGTCGATGATGGACGGACGGGTCAGAGGGAAGACGACGAGGGCCTGCCTGCCTCTTGAGGAAATGACATGAGGCTTGGCGTTGGGGGGAAAATGCAAAAGACGGCCGGACGCTCTGCAAGGCCGCTCGTCCTTGTCGTCTCCTCGTCGGCCAGCCTCGAACGGTTTCGTGGATGTTCCCGGTGAGAGCCCGCCCGTACCTGCGCCAGTGCGAATAAATAAATAAATAAATAAAATAATAATAAAAAAGGAGAGAAAGAAAAAAGAAAAGAAAGCGACTCGTCCAAGCCCCACCGGTCCGCACGCGGTGGGTTGTGCCAGGAACAAGGGTGGAGCGGATTGGATGATATCACATAATCTTGTCCAGGGCGTTGTGCGCTTCCTGCCTTTGCTGGTAACGCCACTCGTTGCTACTACTGCTCGCAATCCTCGGGTAATTAGGCGCGTCGCGTCCTCCCCTGGAATAGGAAGGTTTCGACTCGACGTGTCCCGGCACCCCGAGACCCAAGACGTGCTAAAACGAAACGTCAAAACCCAGGCCCGGCGGGAGATCCGTTTTTGGCTCTGGCGCGGGATTCATTCAAGCTTGCAATCTAAGACAACGTAGTTGTCAACCCTACACATATTCACATTTTGATTGATTTTCAGCCTGCCACCGAGTTTGTCGCTGCTCAATGGCCTACTTTTTTTTCTCCCCCACACCTTTGAATGCCTGCGGGGCGCCCCTCCTTCCCAGGAGCCCACCATACATACACCCATGGCGAAGATCAGAAGATGCCCGCCTGCTGTGTGGCTGAGCAGGCGTGCAGGGCTCTAGCATGGCCCCCCGTCGGAGCAATTTGTCAACAGCGAACCATCCGGGAAAGGGCGGGGACTTGTCTCTCTCTCCCACTCGCCGGATGGGGTTCCGGTCCCCGCCGCCGTCTCGCGTCCCCCCCGGCGCGTCGACCGGGTAGCCCGCTGGAGACAATCTGGTTTCCAAGCAGATGGCATCGGTGCTCTCTCGGCGGGCGCGGTATTATTGCCCGTGTCAAGAAGGCCTACCCGACGTGTCGATTGGTTGGGAAATGGTACCTGCCAAGCCGTCACCCTCTGGTCCGTCCTTTGCTCTCGCCGACGAACGTTGCAAAGGCAGTAGTAACCTTTTGCAGTGCACGTAGCAGTAGATATGGACAGGCACCATGGCATATGCCGGGCCATCAGCCGGATGCGAAGGACATTGAAATTGCCCGATTTGGACTGGCGCCCATCACAAACGGCCCCAGTCCGCTACCGTCAACACCACAATGGATCCACCGTTGGGATACTGTGCACCCCTAGCCGCCGTCAACCGCGAGAGCTGGCTGGCTGATGCACAGTACGTACCTCCCTAGGAGTGCCATGGCAATAATTACATAAACAAGCCCGCCTGACTAGACCGTGGTGAATGTCATGTGTTTGGGGCTGGCTTTGGTTGTTGTTTGGGGCCCAAGGCACGAGTGGCACGCACTAGCGCCAGGCAGCCTAGATTCCTCCGAGCCTCTCAGAAGCCTTGCTGGTTCCCGAACAGGAAAGGGAACCCGGCATTGGATATGCCGCTAAAATGACGAATGTTGACATGGCCGGTTGGCTGGACACGGGCAGGCAACGCTGACCCTGACTGGGCTGCTGATGAAAGCAAACTTCCCGTCCCTGATATTCGGAAATTTCACCCTCGAAAACAAGGCCCGCCAGGCCGGGAGCTGGCCAACCGCAACCATGTCTTTTCGGAAACGTTTCTCTCTTGGACTTTTTTTTTTTTCGCACTTGCGCATCGGCGAATTAGATGCAATCCCCCGAAAAAGATAACCCACCTGTCCATTGGACGCGCCGCGATCTTGCTCTCCCATGGGTCTAGCTTATGCGACCAGCCGCGAGGACGCGGTTGGTGCCAGACGCGGGCGCGAGCTCGCCTGCGAGGGCAAACGATGTCTGGCCTGGACTGGACCGACTTTCAGTTTCGAAGAAATACACACACACACACACACACCACACACACACACATACAACACACCATACACCCCCGGAACGACGTCTCTCGGCAGGCTCCTCCCACGTCCTGGAAACTCGGCGGGAAAATCCGCACATCATCGCACAGAGATCCACCGCTGGCAGCCACGAGGTGCGCGCATCTTTTCCCACCCCCTCCAATCTCATCTGTCGCAAATCTCATCCGAGGGGAGGGGGGGGGACGTCGACGGATCGTGTCTCGTCCGAGCCGATTTCGAGCTAGCCTCGCGCACCCACCCCCATCAGCCCCCCGCGCGCCCACGTGAAGCTGTGAATTTTAACCAATTCGCGGAGATGAAGCCCGTGAGGGTGACGTGAAGAGAGAGAAAAAAAAAAGAATGAAGAAAAACAACCACCTGCAGAGACCACGGCCGCGCTGCATCCTCGCGCGCGGTGGCCGTCGACCTGAACCGCACTTGCTGCATTTTGCGCTCCCACTCTGAAACCCGTGGCTGACCCACCTTTGGTTTCCCGGCGGGCTCCGCTCCAGGGGAGGGAAAGACCAGAATCCGCTACCCGGGTGGGGCAGCAAGCGACCCGGGTGAGCGACAGACGGCACAGACATTTCTGGTGAATGGCGCGGGGTTTCGAAGATCACAGTCCCAGCGATTCTTGTCTCGGGTGGGAACCTCGAATGGGAGGGGGTTTGTTTTGGGGGGGAGGAGAAGGAAAAAGAGGCAGTTAAACAAGAAAAGAATACAAATCATGTTTGTGGCTCTTCCATGTCACTTGAATCGTTGGCTTTTGCAGCCCATCCATGGCGCCGACGCCAACGCACGAATAATATCCCGCCGCAAGGGGCAAGGATGCAACCCGTCGAATTTCAATTCATGACGCCAGGCCACGGCAGAGGCAAAACCCGCGCCAAGGCAACAAGCTGCAGTCGAGCGACGGAACAAGAGATCTTGACAAAAGATGCCACTAAGACGAGCTCGTTGGTGTGCGCTCTCGTGTGCATCCGTGCCTCGCCCTCACGATACTGAGGCCAAACCCCCGCGGCAGCCATGGTCGGGAGTCGGAGGTCAGGGGTGTGTGTGTGTGTGTGTGTGTGTGTGTGTGTGTGTGTGTGTGTGTGGTGGGTGGGTGCGCGGCCAACACGGAGGATGGTTTTCCATGAAGCAGCAGCAGCCGGGCAGCCCGAACCCCACCGAGGGCGCAGCCGGTGACGGGCTCAGGGTTGCACACCATATCAGCCTGCGGCTTTGTCGGAGCAGCTTCCCACGGGGGGGCCGTTTGCGTCTAGCCTGGCCCTGCCATAGTGGCGCATGCAACAACGCACGCCCGCTCACCCACCACCCCCCACCTCGGAGCATGGAGGGCATGATGACGACTCGATGCCGCTTCCGGCCCCCCGGCATTGGCAAATCTCGGGGGGGTCTGGGGAAAGGGAGGGGGCCGCCATCAGCCGCGGGAGGATCAGTGGTAATGGAGGGCGCAAGGAGGGAAAATGGACGACATTCCGTAAAGATGGAGGGTGGTGGCATTGGGGCTGACGGGTGCCGTCACGGCAGATGGGTCTTGGTCTGGAGCAGAATGGCAGCAAGACTGAAAGGCAGCGTCTGGCGTTGCTTTGCAGAGGGCGATAGAAAAGCCATTGGCAGTTGAGCTGATCAACCTGCTCAGTTAGCCGAGTTGGTTACCAAGCCATCAACGGCCACATGGCAATAAACAGGCGGCTGAAAAAAACATATGCCCGCAAACAAAACAACGAAGCGTGCGTCAATGGCATAATACGAAATGGCACGGCTTGAGGAAGCTGAGAGAAACAAAGGACATGCGGGCCGGGCGGGCAGGTTGTCCATCTCGGGAGCAGTAAAGGGCCAGAAAACCAAGCAATGCTGTCTTGATTGATTGTACGGCTCAGCCGCCACCAGCCGCCATGCAGGCTATGCATACAGCATGACATGACAAAGGTGTGCGTGTGTGTGCGCGTGTGTGCGGGAGGCAGCTGCGTGCGGCAGCTCAACGCCAGCGGGAGCAGCAGCATGCGCGGCTCGAGCAGTCAATCTCTCACACGAGGGCCGCCGTCCAGTCTTGTGCATCGTCATCGAACATGGACCAGCTCCAAATTTGTTGTGACGACAAACAGCCCGCGGCACCAGGGCTGCACTCGCCCCTTCCCAACCGTCGTCCCTGCCGGATGCACAGCAGAGCGATCTTCCTGTGATCTTCCCATCCCGTCTCAAAATCCACCTCTTCCTCCTCCTCCAAGACCACCTTGCCCACCAGCCCACGCTCGCACGCTGCCCACTAGCCTACGCTCGCACGCTCACACACACCACCCTCCTGGGGCGGAATCGCAACCATCCCGGTTGCCCACCCTGCCAGGGGCGATACCCCACCCCCTGGGCGAGCATCACAAACTCACTAGACCCAACTCAACTGGTGCAGCACAGCACAGTACCTCCCCCACCTCCACAAGCAGCGAAAAGCAAAGCAGAACAAGCCAATCCTCTCCACCGGCCGAATTGAATTGAGCTGTCCATCCTCTCCCCAAACCCCTGCCGGACCCTTGGCGCGAGACCGGACGGACCAGCGGGGGCTGTTTTCACCGGGGACGCGGGAGAAGGATGAGGACGTGGGTTTTTCTCTGCTCATTTTTTTCTTTTCCTTCTTTTTACTCCCCCTTCTCTCCTTACCCGACGGGCCACGCACACAGTGCCAACGGCCAAGTACCTGCGCCGTACCTTCCTCCAGACAACGCACGAAATGGGAGATCCACCCGGCACTTGTGCTAGACTCACGCCCCCACAAAAGGGAGTGTCAGCTCTTGGCTAGGGACGCGCCCCCTCCCTGCTGCTTGCTTTTTTCTCTTCTTTTTTCTTTTTCTGCATAACTGTTCTCTCCCCGCAAGCGCAGGCCCGGCCCAGGTGAGGGAAGAAATGGGAATGCCCGCTACCGATTTATTTCTCCTCCTCCTTTTTGTCATTGGTCCAAGGCCTTGCAGATCCGATCCCTGTCCTCTGGCCCCCATTGCATGTTCCGCGGAGGACACCCGCCGCACACTGCGCTGGTGCTGTGTGTCCTTGCCTCTTGTGCAGCCCAGCTCAGCAGGAAGCATGCCGCCGCAAACGAGCAGCAGCGCCCAGAGTCGACGACGATGGCAGGTACCGAGCAGCCACGCAGGCAAAAAAAAGAAAAAGGGAATTGCTACACCCTCCATCCATCCATCCATCCATCCACCCATCCACCCATCACCCATCCACTCTACCACTGCCCGTCCCCCCTGTCATAAGCGAGGGGGTGGTCTCAGCTGGCTGCCGGTCCAAGAGATTTGCCCGGGCTCTGTCTGCGATCTGACTGACGAAGGAGAGGAGAAAATGCCGCCTGCGCATCTTCCTGGGGCTTGGCCTCGTTGCCGCTTGCGCTCCTCTTCGCGCGATGCGCACGTCCAAAATCCCAACCGGCGACGCATCCTGGCAGCCCATCGCTTGCTCTGACCGACCCATGATCCCTCCCTCCCCCGGCACCACCGTTGAGCGACCTTGTCTCGACTGCTTGGTGCCGGATGCCTGCGCCGGTTTTATTGGTGGTAATCGTCCCAAAGTATACAGATGCATGTAACTGCAGTGCGGTACCCAAGGTCGTCGAGCTTTTGTTCATGCCCACACCCCTCCTCGACTTCTCTCCCGCCCCCCGGCCCCTTGGCTGCACGCCCCCTCCCCCTATCCAACCCGCCGAATCCCTGGTACCCGCTCCACGGCCAAACACGCTCGCCGCCGCCCGCCTACTCGCCTTTTCTTCGCGCGCTCTCTCCATCCATCCCTCCCACAGTGTTTTTCTGGGATGCGCAATGCTCGTCTCGCCCAGGGCCATGCATGCCCTGCCCTGTCCGCGAAACGGGCGGCCACTCCTCAACAGCTGGACGGGCGGGCTGCAGGCTGTTGTGGTGCGGCGTCGTGTCGTTCGCTGCCACGCCCCCCCTCTTTTGTTCTCTGTCATTCACTTTATTCCTCCTCCCATTAGTGCTGCTGGCTCACTTCACACCATCCCAGACACCAGACCAGACCAACTCAGAACCGTTGGCCTGACCGGCTAGCCTGACTAAACATCCGGCTTCCCGATGCTCATCTTCTTGACATGCTGTTTTGTCTCGCCGGCTACGCTCTCTAAACACTAGAATGGCTCGTCTGTTACACTGTCGTCGGTCCGTGAGGACAACACGTCCACCCGGAGATCGCCTTCCCAGGAACTGACTTGACTCCACCTACTCACAGCTTGCCTCGCATCTGTCTACAGGTGTAGCAGCAGCAGCAGCAACAGCAGCAGCAGCAGCAGCAGCAGCAGCATAAAGGCAGGCAGGTCAGAGGTGGTCAGGTAGCGTAGCCTTTGTCTGCATTTTTCAGGTACGCCATTCGCCCGCCCTTGCTGGGGAGGGTGGTTTGCATATTCACTTGCCGACGGCTACTGCTGCTGGGGGTGCCATCACGCCCACACCCCCAAAGGGGACCCAAAAAAGGCTTGCGGCATTAGCCATTCAGCCGAGAGCTGGCCGTGGTCCAGGCTTGCCTGATATGCTCTTTTTTTCTGCTGCTACTGCTGCTGCTACTGCTGTTACTGCTGGTGACTGACTGCACAGTGCAGATAGCCAAAGAAGAAGCGTCGCATGCCGCCTGTGGCTCAGCAGTTTCCAAGCTGGGCAAACAGTTGATGTTATTGTCGCCCCAGGCCAGCTATAGGCGGTAGGTAAACATACCATACCACCTGTTCCCGGCCGGGCCTTTTTTATTCTCCTCTTTTTCCCTGCCTCTCCTTTTGCTTTTGGTTTGGAAATGTGGCCTGGCCCATCCCTCCCTGGCCTCTTGTGATTGCTTGGGTCCTGCTCATTCTCGGCTTGCCCCTCCCATCTCTCTCCATCTTCGCGACCCTTTCTCCTCTTCCTTCGATCTTGGTACTGGCCGCTACTGTAATATTCGGGTAGCCTTAGGAAAAACAGGTCCGCAGCCGGCTCTGGAGTGCGCTGAGTCGTCGCTGTCCCATAATTATACCCACTGTCCGTTCTCAGGTACCAGGTACTCTGGGTTTTTGCCAGGAGGACCACCCCCGGCTTCCTGTTCTCGGTGCGGGTCGCCTCCGCCCACCATCAACCATCCTCCTTGTACCCCCTTCCAGGGCCCTCGCTCGCAGCGAAAGGTCGTCGTCCCTCCCCCCCCTTGCCTTCCCTTCCCTTCCCTTCCCATCCCACCCCTTGCCCTGGCTACCTACCGTTCTCCACACCACGGTTCTGTACCTGCCTTGCATGCCACTACAGTATACATAACATAGCTCGCGATCCGTTGCAGAACCATCCCTCCCCCCTCGCCGCTGCCGGTCCTCCTGCTCTTCATCTCATCTGGACCACCTGGACCCTCTATCGCCAACCCGCCGCTTAGGTTCTGAATCCGGATCCTGCCCTGCTACATCTTTCTTTTTTTTTCTCTCCGTGTGTGGGTAAGCCCTAGGAGGTTGCGAGTTAAACCCATCGGGATTAATTTTTTATCCCTTTTA